ACCTCTACTACCCGGAGACTAGCAATTTAATTTAACTTCCCCGAGCCTTAGTGTCCTAAGCTATAAAATGGTGCTAATACTACCTACTTGAGATAATTGTTTTGAGGATTAAATACTATCAGGAAAAAATATAGTTCATTAAAAGTTAGTTCCCTCTCTCAGGGGACATTTAGCTCAATTGGTATAACATAGTTTATAAAGAAAATGTTCTGCATGTTACTTTGGTGAGTAGCATCTCGGGTCTTAAAAGCTCGTGAGTGGCCATCTAAGATAAAATACTCCACTCTCCACTGGTCCTACCCATCTGGAGCAAGGGAGAATGAAGAAAACCAAAGACATAAGTGAAAGATTAGTCCAAAGGACTAATGGACCACAACTACTACAGCCTCCACCAGACCGAGTCCAGCACAACTAGATGGTGCCTGGCCACCACCACTGACTGCTCTGACAGGGATCACAATAGAGGGTCCTGGACAGAGCTGGAGAAAAAAATGTAGAACAAAATTCTAACAAAAAAAGACCAGACTTACTGGTCTGACAGCAACTGGAGAAACTCCGAGAGTATGGCCCCAGACACCCTTTTAACTTAGTACTGAAGTCACTCTTGAGGTTTACCCTTCAGCCAAAGATTAGACAGGCTCATAAAACAAAATGGGCACACCAGCCCAGGGCAAGGACAAGAAGGCAGGAGGGGATAGGAAAGTTGGTAACAAGGAACCCAAGGTCGAGAAGGAGAGAGTGTTGACATGCTGTGGGGCTAACAACCAATGTCACAATATGTGCATTAATTGTTTAATGAGAAACTAACTTGCTCTGTAAACCATCTAAAGTACAATTTAAAAAAAATAAAAAAGAAAATACCATGGCTTGGGTCAGGTGCACCTTAGTCCTCAAACTGACATATTTGCTTTTCCAAAAAAAAATAAGTTAATTCCTTCCATGTCTACATTCTTTTGTTATAATAAATGTTGCTTGCAAAAAGCAGGCTAGTAATAAGGTCTCCAAAATGCTGAAATACAAAAATTTCACTGTAATGGAAAATGATTCCTTTATCATTTCCACATAAAAGCTATCTATCCTGACTTTAGAGACCTTCAAGAAAGAATAAACATCACTCTGTGGTTTGTGTAAAACTTCTATCGATAATTCCTTTGTGTCTAACCTGAATTTCCCAAGTTAAAGTTCCTCTGACAGTTCCTTCAATCCTCCTTGGGGGTGCAAAGCATGTATGTTTTATTCATCTCTGCATTTGTGTATTTCGGTTCTGACGCACACATTCATTCATTCAGCAAATATTTACTGAGGACTTACTTTGTGCTAGGTACTGTGGTAAGTAGTGGAGTAAGACAATAACTGAGAAAGCCCACTGCCATCGAGTCGATTCTGACTCATAGCGACTCTATAAGGCAGAGTAGAACTGCTTCACAGGGTTTCCAAAGAGCAGCTGGTCGATTTGAACTGCCGACCTTTTGGTTAGCAGCCAAGCTAGAGGGTCCTGCTCAAAGAGCTTACAGTCTAGTGGTGGAGAAAGACATTTAAATACACAAATAATTAAGCTACTATTGTGATGAATGTTACAAAGGAGAACTACTAAGTACGGTGAAGATATAGCTTCAGGGATAAGGGGTCAAAGATCAGGGAAGGCTCCCCTGAGGAATGACATTTAAGATGAGACTTAATTAGGAGCTGGCCAGATTCTGGGGGGAGGACGAACCCTGACAGTAGTGGTCCAGGGAGATGGAACACGTACAAAGGCCCTGAGTCAAGAAGAAGCTTATGTACGTAGTAAATAAGGTGTAGTAAACGAGAAAGACTGGGGATAAGAACAGAGAGGAGACAGAAGACAGATTATCACCATTAAACAGAGCAGGAGGGTAATTAATAGTACTTGAATATTTAAGTCACTTTAAGTCTTTTTCTCCCATGAGAAAAATAGTCTAAGGAAAATGAGTCTTTATTCCACAGCACTAAAGATGTGGAGTCAGAAGACCTAGATTATGCCTTGGTCCTAACCAGTTGCTAGTTACATGACCATGGGCAAGTCACTTAATCAAACTGAGCCTGTTCATTCTTTTCTAAAACAAGTACTCAATTATTCTACCTACTGAGAGTATGATAAATTATCTGTTCTTACAGGCCTTATATCCCTATATTCTAGCTAGAGAAAAAATAAGATGTGTAAATGGAAAACAACCTACACTGTGTGAGAGATAATGGCCAAAAGCTGACACAAAGCCCAAAATGATAGCAAATGTGTGTCAGTACACTGTAAATTGTAAACTACTATAAAAAAAAATACCATTGAACACATCACTCTGTGAACCCTAAATTATCCAATGTGCAGAGGTCCAAAATGACCACAGTACTCCAGAATATGACTTGAAAGGATGACAAATACAATAAAACATTACTGCATCATTGCAGGAAACCCTGGTGGCATAGTGATTAAGAGCTTCGGCTGCTAACCAAAAGGTCAGCAGTTCAAATCCACCAGGTGCTCCTTGGAAACCCTATGGGGCAGTTCTACTCTGTCCTGTAGGGTCACTATGAGTCAGAATCAACTCGATGGCAACGGGTTTGGTTTTTTTGGTTTGTACCACTCCAGCATAGATAAAAAATATCAAAACTATAATCAACCTTAAAGATAAAGAGAAGACAAAGTGGTAGAATCAAACTGAGGCCAAAGCTAACATACACTGAAATATACAAACTACATTATACTTAATTTCATTGAACTTATTATCAAGTTTTCCTGACTTATTCAAAAGCTCTTTCCACAACTTCATAAAAAGTCAGAATCACTTCCCACCTCCCCCAACAAAAAGCAAACGCCATTTCTGCCATCTAGAAAATACATTAACACACTTGCTTTACAATCACTGACTCATGTTCAGTTTATGGTCTACTTAAACTACCTTTCTAATATATAGCACAAAGTCAGTTTCCCCAGATAGTTTTCCATTTGTTTAGTTGGGTCTTCCTTCCCTGTGTACTACATTACTCTAGGTGGTACATTATTCTGGATTTTACTTCATTCTGTAGCATAATAACTCGTTCCTATTTTAAAGGTCATATTAACTTCTAGATCATCTTAATTTCAAACATACGGGAATATAATACATTGTTAATAATAAACTGCAGAGTGAATTCGAAATTCTGCGTATTTCAATGGTCAACTTATTAAAAAAAACCAAGCCACGACTAATTACCTACTGACTATAAGTAGGTATGTAGTTATTGGATAAACTTATTACAAAGAAATGTTGATGTCAATTAACTTAATCCTAACGTCGTATTAAAAAACTATTCGATAATAATATTCATGAGCTACAACTGGTCATAACAACAATTATAGGGTGTAAGGCTGGAACAAAGGAGCCCTGGTGGCGCAGTGGTTAAAGCATTTGGCTGCTAATTGAAAGGTCTGCACTTTGAGCCCACCAGCTGCTCCCCTAAAGATTTACAGCCTTGGAAACCCTATGGTGCAGTTCTACTCTGTTCTATAGTGTTGCAATGAGTCAGAATCGATGGCAGTGAGTTTGCATTGGGAAGACTGGAACAAGCACACTGCTTTCTGCTCAATATGAAACATAAGCATCCGGTTTTTTTTTAATTCTCTAATGTAAAATAAGGATAAATTAAAAGAAAACTCATAAAAAAATATATTAGATCCTGATTTTACTATTTAAAGACACACACAGACACATTCCGGAGTCAAGAAAATAAGAATACAAAAATCCCAAGCAGGAAATTTGATGTTACCTCCGTGAAATGAAACATATCTCCTTTTCTAGTACTGAGCACACTAAACTCTCTTAATACTACCTTATTTGAAAAAAAACTGTACAGTAAGTTCTGTGAAAGAATTCCAATCCCACTGTCCTCAGTTCTACAAAACGAGAATAAAAATAGTCCTAAAATAAGGAATGAAAGGAATATTCTTATAACTAGGACGGGATATACTGCTTACTTGACATTCTCATATTTCCTATCTACCCTTTAAAATAGAATGTAGTAATACAAGCTATCATTTAATACACTTATAAAAGAAAAATATGTAAGTTCAAACTGATTTTTTTTTAGATTTTTCTCAAACGTCAGAGTGGGCCTTTCCTCTGGATTGAGGAATTTCACCTCAGCTCAAAATAAACAACTCTTCACTTCACAAATGGCTTCTTAGAAATAAATAAAATACATTACTTTGCAACTTCCTCACCCTCCACCCTTTTAAAAAAACGCAACCAACCTCCCTACTCTTTCTTTCTTGAGAGGCAGCTCTGACTCAGAAGCTGGACTAGAACTGGACAAGATTCAGAAGATCTGTCCCTACGTGTGTGACCTTGGGTACGTCATTTATTGCCTCAGTTTCTTCAGGAGCAGCACGACGTGAAAGTGCTTTGAAAACAGTAAAAGGATAAAAACATCTTAGGTATTTTACAGGAGAGGGTCAAGCTTTTCTACTCAGCGCAAAATTGCTCCTTAGCGAAGCCACATCAAGAAACTGGAACTGAATCCGTAGATCCCTGTCAACCTTTGACCCTTCATACAGGTCTCTTCTCTCAAAGAGCATAACCCGAGTCACGCCTAAGAGCAGCCTCCCAAGCACCCCTTCCTTCCTCCACTCCTCCCTTACTTCCAAAACGGGGGATATAGCAGCCTCATCTCCCCGCCTCAAGCCACCTTCAGAGGACCCCACCCCAAACACATCCGCCCTCTCCCGGGACACCAGAGGCCAACCTCGCCCTTCCCCTCCCGCCCGCACCTCGAGGAGACTTCCTGGAGGCGCCCAGGCCCCAGCCCGGCAGGCGGCATTTACAAACCTGCTTTACGCCACTCGCGTAGGTTAACCTCATTTACGCCCATAGGGCCCCACTCCCAGCCCCATCCGCTCCGCCTGGCAGAGCCAAGCCCGAGTGCCTCAGCCCCGAACTCTGTGTGACCCAGACCTCTTCTGCTCTGCTCAGACATACGGGGAGTGAGACAGAACAGCCACACTTTACCGGCAACTGAAGCACTAACTCCACTTGCCACCTTTGGAGCCCTCTTCAACTCCCAGATCAATTCACTCCGGCGACGCCGGAAGGACCCGAGAGGAACCAGGCGTTGTCCGGAATCCTGCCCAGCCGGAGTCGTGCAAGGGCGTATGGGGACTCGTAGTCCCACCTGCTGTCCTTGCCGGCAATTCCTGAACTCAGACGACTACATTTCCCGGCAGGCCGTGCGGAGGAGCCTAAGACGATGGGTGGGGACACTTTTAGCCAATAGTTGAAGAGTTCCCTGCTTTTGCAGGAGGAGGTGAGATGAAGAGAGAGGGTACACGGAAAGCAGGGGAAGGGCGGGGTCAGCTCTCACCTGCGCCAATCAGGGTGCAGTGTTGGCCCCGCAGGCGACTCACCCATTGTGGGGGCGGGCTAGCAGAGCAGAGAAAGGAAGGAAGGAAGGAAGGAAGGAAGGGAGGGAGGGGCCCAACGTGGGGAACGTGGGACTGGTTGGAAGGGTCTGCGGCGAGGGCTGAGAGGGAGCCCCGGGGAAGTCATCGGGGCCGAGGGAGGGCGCGGTGTGGAGACGCGCCCCGGCTGGAGGAGCAGCTTTCGCGAGAGGAGCCGAGATACAGGCACTCTGGGCTGTCGGACCCGCGGGTCGAGGCTGGATAGACTGAGCTCCGGCTCCCTTAGGAGGCGCTTGCGGAAGCCTGCAGGCAGCGCCAGGTGTGAGGCCACAGAGTGAGGGGACAACGGTCTCCAGGGACAGGCAGCGGCAGAACAGCTGCAGAAGTGCAGGAGCAGAGCGGGAAGGTACCCGGGCAACAGCTTCCCGCCGCCTACGGCCCCAGCAGCTGCGGAACAGCAGGGGGAGGCGCAACAGCTGGCGAATTAGCCAACTAGAGGAGGGGGAGGCGGAGTTTGGGTCCTTGTAGAAGCTGAAAGCGTCGCCTGGACTGTAGTTTGCCGGGAGAGACGAGACAGGAGCTGGAGCAAGAGCAGGAACGGAGCGCGGTCCTGGGAGCATCAGCTCCAGCATCCCGCCAGGGGTTGCAGGTGTGTGGGAGGTAAGCGTGGGTGCCTCTTCCAGGCGTCCACACACTGCCCGGTTTTACTGCCCGTGAGAAAGTCTCTACCTATAGGAGTTATGTAAAGGCACAGCTAAAAAAGTCTCTACCTCGGGCTAGGAAGCCGGTGCAAACCCTTTTGGGTGAAAGATGTAATGTACAGTTTTGGACTTTGAGGGAAAAAAAGCAAAAGGTGGCTAGATCCTGGGTATGAAAGGGCGTGGTTAGTGTTTTGAGTTGTAGCATTAAAATTGTTCGGGGAGATCTCAAAATTGAGGGAAACCTGCTAATCGAGGACAAGGTGGATGATACCTGAATAGGTGCGTAGCTAGTAGAAAGCATAAATGTTGTCATTGTTATAGAATTACTTCAGAACTCTTTCACTAAGTAAATAAGTTTACATTCTTCTTCCATGTCTGCCCTTTTATGTTGGTTTATCAGATTGTCCTGCTACCGACTGTTATCCAGGGTGGTTGTACTGCAGGTTCCCAGAATTGAATGAGATCTGTATTAAGGAAGCAAATGCAAGCAGGAATAATCCATATGACTGAACGTATCAGAAGTATAACTTTTGCCAGCAATAATGTAAAAATGTGTTTTAATGGATGCATACTTAGCTTTCCTTCCAGTGGCTCTGGAATATTTAAACAAAGACCTGGACTCAGCCTACAGTGGGAACATACGGTGTACTTCATTGCTACTCCTTATTCTCTCATTTGTGTCCGGTAATATTTGTATATTTAAAAAACAAGAGTACAAGAAAAGCTGTGTCAGGATCTGTTCACTGTTTAGAAACTACGTGTTAAGTGATCACCCTTAGTATATGTTATGATGGGTTCGGGCTTAAAAGACATGTAGGGTCATAAAATAATTCTCGGTATTAAAGCATGTGTGTATTTGTTTGAATGTAATTAAATACTTATGGATGGAAATATGTTTTAATACTAGGTAAAGATGAAAATCATTCCTATCTTTTAATATCTATGACACAATTACAGCCTGTTATTTTCAGAAGAGTATTTAAAAAGATATTTGCCTACTTGATTTGCCTTTTTCTTTTTGTTACAGAGGTTTCCCAGATTACATGACTTTTAATCATAGTAGCATATTGCAGCACAATTTGCTCTGAAATGCCTTCATGGTGACAGTTGTATATTTCAGAGAGTCTGTCTGAATAATCTGGATTTTCTTGAACTAGGGTCAATAAAATAGACTAATTGCTTTCTATTTTCATTTTCACACTTTCTTGCTTTACTTAAAACCAAAAACCAAACCTGTTACCGTCGAGTCGATTCCAACTCATAGAATTTTATTTTTCTAATGTGCACAAAATTCCTGTTTGAAAAGAAATGGCCCCAAAGAAGTCTCTTTGTAGCTTAAAGTTCAGTCCTACTGAGTGCTTGACAGCCTACGTGATTTATCAGTGTATATACTTCTCCTTTTCAGCACCTCCTCCCACATTCACACACCAGAGAAATACATAGAAAGACAGATATTAAAAAAATAAAATAAAATAAAGACAGAAAGAAAAAGGTGCTTTTAGATTGTCCTGGAGCAGATCAGGTAAGTGTTAAAAGAAACAAAGAGCTTTGGAGAAAGAAAAAGCAACAGTAGCCACTAAGTAGCTATTTTAAGGATCAGATTTTATCTTTGCTACATCACAGGAGAGTCTGTTAATCCACATAGTTGACATGACCTTGTGAAAATGATTGTAAAGGAGAAAAAGGAATAGGGTATAGTGAGGTTTGGAAAAGATTATGTTTGCCCTTGTTATTTGTGATTAAGTGGATTGTCCTAAATCAGAGTCTTAGATTATCTCTCAGGCTCTGCTACTGATTCATTTTGTGAAATTGAACAATTACTGTCACTGGGTTATTTCCCCCATGTAATAATAATGATAGTAATAATGACAATGAAATTTTTTCAGAGCCTTATTAAAAGATCTTTCGGAAAGAGTTTGGTTGGGAAACAGTTAATAGTCAAGCAAAAGGGGTAGAAAATAAATATCAAAAGAGCTAAGATTCAGGTGTACTTTGAATTCCAACTACTTACAGGTCTTTTGTTCTGAGCTATCATAAAGGCTAGAATCTCATTAGGAATGAATGAGTTTGTGGTATTAAAGTACTACATGTTTTGCCTGTTTCCCAGATTTGTATGTTACTTAATGTGTCAATGAAAGAGACTGGGTTCTTGTATATCATTTAGGAGTAGCAGGACCTTGTTTTTATAGGGGAGAAAATGATTGCCAATGTTTAGTACCTGGACATTTATCTGTTATGTTGAACTCTTAACACATTTTAAGTTGATGTTTACACCAAATTTCAGATTATCTGAAGACTTCTATTGACTCTGCGTTACTGGTGTTGAGACAGTTCATTATATGGCAGTTTATAGTTTTATTTAAAGCACTCCCTAGGTTAAAAGGGTATTATTTAATCTCTGCTTGAGGTTTACTAGTCGTGTATACATATCAGGGAGATTGGCGTGATACAGTAAGAAAAAAACACTCGTTCAGAAGTCTCTCTTAAATGGAAGTTTCTCTGGGGATTACTGTTCTTTAGCCAAAAGACTTGGTTAATTTCCAGTTATAATATGTTTTGGATTTTTTTTTTAACTCAAAATTCTGACTGTAAGCCTATTAAGTAAAAATAATTGAGTACCATGGATTTCTCTTTCTAATAGGAGGATTCACTGATTCATGCAGCACCAAAGAGCGAGACTTAAAGATTCAAGATCAGATGGTTTTGGTGCATGTAGAAGGGGGATAATAGGAAGAAAACTGCTTGAGGAACATACCCTTAGCAAAAGAGAAAAGAGATTTGATCTTTTTTGTTAAGTGCCGTGGCCTTTTTTTTTCCCTGATCATTCATTTCTATGGGCATATGTACAAAGTGAAAGACATTACTTTCCTACATTGTCATTTTAACTAGAGTTAGGCTGACATGAATTCATTAGATTTTGAATAATAATGAATCATTAGAGCAAAGCAGAAAAGATCACACATGTATACATTCACTTCTATGTGAAATATATTGTTTAAAGCGAAAGGAACTAAAATGATGTTTTTCCCTTTAATAATAGAGGTGCTTGAACCAGACAATGAAGATGAACAAGAGCTGTTCTGGGGGTGGGGGGGGGGGGATACTTTTTATTTATCTATTTTTTAAAGCAAACTTCTAAGGTTAGACACTGTTTGGAAGATCAAAATTTATCATTATATAAAGATAAAGGTTTTAGTTAGTTATTTTTTATAGTCTTGCCTCTAATGTTTTCAGAATTTAGTCCTTAACATTGGAAAGTATTTTAAGTAACTAGATTATTAGCTTCATGAGACCATAGACTTTTCTATCTCATGCAATACCTCACATAATGCTCAGCATAAAGAAGTTGCTCTATATCCATTTACTGAAATTAGAAATATTGGCCAATACGTCTTCAATGTACACATTGAAACATCTTATAGTTTGAGAGACAAGAGTCAGTCAGTCCTGTAGAATATTTCTGAGAATTGCTTTGTGGTTAGCCTTTGTAGAAGTATAGATTGAGCCCAGTTTGATTCAGGCTGTGGTGGGCTGCAAGGACTCATCTACAGCTCTGGGTGCCAAAGTTTCTAAATCCATTTCTGGGTTAGAGAGTATATGCCAGGAGAAAATGTTCTCCAACAGGTGGGACCAAAGGTCTGCCCATGGCTCATCGCCATTTTACCTCAAGTTCCTGGACACATACCTTTGCTGAAGCTTGATTATAAGAAACATATTTCATTGTATAAAAACTTAGTTTGCTCTTCCATTTTTCTAGTCATTCCTTTAAAGAAGAGAGAGGAAGGAAGAAAAAAATCAGACTGATTGTGTTTAAGCATATTTGGAGGTGTACATTTATTGTTTTTTTATATTTGATCTTCCAGAAACAAATTAACCTTATTAAGTGTTAGAATTAAGAATTTGAAGATGTTTTTGTCTTTTGTTATTATGAGACATGGAGAATTTTAGCAAATTGTAAATAGTTCTTTATTAGTGGTAAAATTAATAATAACAAATATTTAACTGGATTTTCTTTGCTTTTTATAATACCTTTGCCAGATGCTGATGGATACCGATTGACTTAGAAATGATCACTAATCTCGGTTCTTCATGTTCCTTTGGCACTACTCTTGGCAATGCTTAGCACCGTGCCTTCTATAGCTGGGTTCACAACCATCTTCCTCACCAGAACTAAGACTAAATTTTTTCATCCTATTATTTACTTTAGGGACCTTACATATAGTCAATATTTGGTAGCTGTTAGCAGTTTGATTCAATATTCGGCAACTTATAATGAAGCATCACTTGACATTTTTCACAAACAAGTACAGCTAGAAAAATGAATTTTACTTAGACATCTGTTTTAGAACCAATCTAGCCGTCTGCCCACAACAGTTGTTTGTATTAGACCAAATATAAATATCACTGTCTTTGCTTAGATTTCTGAATGGATAGAGCAAACATTGCTGTTAACTGCTACCCTGCATACGTGTGTGACGTGTGTGTGCTTTAGATATAAATTTTTGTATCGGATGCTGTTTGGAATGAGTCGTCCTTTTCTCTCCTTGTCTCTAGAAATTTGCTGATTTAAATATATACTTTTAAATACCACCATCCCCACAAGCATATATGCACACATTCTATGGCTTTTTTTCCTTTCTTGACGTGATATAGAGACTTAAAGAAAAATAATATAATATGAGGTTTATCTTTATTAAAATTTAACTGGTCGTGAATATTCTATTTTCAATGAAATGGTTGCATTGAGAGACCTTATTAAGCCCGGAATATACAGGGATTTATCATCTTTGAGCCAAGGTGGGGAAGGGATGAGTTTTGAGAGTTGGCATCAGCAAGTGTGCAGTGGGGGCCCTCTGTAGAGCTTAGCTGCTGAAGTGTTGCTGTACCTCCGTCTACTGCTTTGAGGCCCCCTTCTGGTTCAGCCTGGAAATGGAACCTTCTGAGCTCCTCACAGCTCTT